TTGCGTAATGACACACCTCGGTTCGGACTCAGGGCGTGTCGGCTCACTTCAAACTGCCACAGTTATCGCTCGCTATAGTCATTTAGCTTCGTGGAACAAACTTCAAAGATGCGTAGCCTGGATTCTTCGTTATAAAGGATATTTGAGGAATCCCTACACAACCCCAAAGGGTAGACTGACATTGGCAGAGATGAGGGAAGCGTCATCAGAAATTATAAGGATGGTGCAATTAGAAGCGTTCCCCTATGAGATGAAGCTCCTTGGGAACAACAGTACCTTTGATGATGCGCTTAGACGGTGCGGTGCCAAAAGAAAATCCCTTCGCAAAGTGTCTAGTTCGTTGAGATGCCTTACACCAATTGTCGTGGATGGAGTATTACGCGTCGGGGGACGACTACAGAACAGCTGTCTACCTCTCGAGACTAAACATCCGATCATTCTACCGTCCCAACACTTTGTGACGCATCTACTAATCCAACATTATCACGAACTGAACGGTCATATGGACAAAACTATATTCTATCTACAATAAGGACGCGGTACTGGATATTGCGGGCCAACAAGACGATAAAATCCTCGTTGAAAAGATGTCTCAAGTGCCGGAGATGGTTTTCTCGACCATACCAGCAAGCTATGGCTCCGATCCCCATCGATCAGACTGTGCAGTCTTGCGACCCCTTTACGATTTCAGGAGTTGATTATTTCGGTCCGATGTTCGTTAAACGGGGACGTTCCGTCGAAAAGCGATATGGTTGTCTGTTTACCTGCCTCAGTTCTCGAGCTGTGCATCTGGAAGTAGCGCACTCTTTAGATACCGATTCGTTCTTGTGTGCTTTCAATCGATTTGTGGCACGTAGAGGTTGTCCACAGCGACTATACAGTGAAAACGGAAGCAATTTTAAGGGTGCGGAAGGCGACATAAAGAAACTGCTTAAAATGTGGAACCAGGACAAAATAGCGAAATCGCTGCTGATCCGTGAGTGCGACTGGGTATTCAACCCCCCTCGAGCCAGCCATAGAGGTGGTGTATGGGAAAGAATGATTCGCACAGTCAAACAAATTATCCTTGTGGTGCTAGAAGAACAACGCCTCACTGATGAAGTTCTACATACGGCTATGACTGAAATTGAACGAATTCTAAATGACCGGCCGTTGGTAAGACAGAGTGACGACCCGGATGATCAGTATGTACTTACACCGAGTAAGTTGCTGTTACTAAGAAGTAATTCGTCCGAGCCAATACCAAGTACGATTCCAAAGAATCAATTTAATAGAAGATGGCGACAGGCACAACTCCTAGCGGATACCTTTTGGAAGAAATGGTTAAGAGCCTACCTACCGACACTCGCAGTTTGTCGGAAGTGGCAATCTACGCATCCGAGTCCCAGGATTGGTCAACTTGTTCTGCTAGCGGAGGCAGACAAACCCCGAGGTGTCTGGCCTAAGGCAATAATCGAAGAAGTACACGCAGGATCGGACAACTTAATTCGTGGAGTCACCGCTCGCACAGCAAAAGGTCATGTACGGAGGGACATACGTCAAGTTTGCCCACTGGAAGGAGAAGTGGATCAAATGGAAACTCCGTGACGCTTTCAGGCCCTCGGGGACCGCGACTCCGCGGGGGAGTGTGACATCCCTGATGTCAATTTCTATTATTGTCTTTACTTTGCTACTAACCGTTTGCTAGTAACCAGATTTACGCACACCGCCTGTCTTTGTCTTTGTATCCCTATTCGTCGGTTCTTGTCATTCCTTGTTCATTGTTCCCTGTCCATTGCCTATTGCTCTTTGTTGCCGCTCGCTTATAAACCGACCACCACATCTTGGCGTCATTCGCTGACTGCTCGTCTTATCACCTCGAATGTACGTCCACTTTTCAATTTATTCTCCACCTTATTAACTCTATTGTGCTCCGCTAATCTCACTATTTTTTGCTATAGAACCACAAACAATAACCGAGTTATCCTGACTGTCTTCTGACATAGCTCTGACCTCGGGTGCGTCTATTCAGGTGAATAAAACAGCACTGAGTTTAAAGAACACCAACCACACCAAGTAACCCAGTCAGTTGCCAGCCTTCCAGACTACGCCGGAGTTTTCAATTGAATCTGATTTTATCATGAAAGTTGTAGGATCGTGGCGATAGAGTCCCAGCGTCCACCTCATTTTCTCCTCCCATTTCTTATGTATACTCCGCCGTTTGAGCCACTCAGACATATTAGTAAAAAAAATCATGTATTTAGCACCTCCAGGGGCACTTTTATAGTCGGTCAAAATGAACTTTCGGGTGAAATTTAAAACAAGTACACTGTACAGTGTCTAGTTCGTACTTATACAATAGGCTGTCTGGCATGAAAACGATTAGCGGAAAGTGCAAAGACTCCTTTTTTGCACAAAAAATGCGAAATGAATTTCGCATGATTAGTTTTTACGAACGAAAAAGCCGTCGCTCATGGGAAGCTGGATATGCAGACCGCACAGGACCGTCCCACACGTACAAATGCATAAGGATTCAAAACAACCAAATTACTAAACTAAGTGAGACACTAGGTTCAGATGCGTTCTAATATTTTTTAGTTGACAGCAGACGCAACCGTCCAGGTAGCTAAACAGGAGGCACCTAATGACATCTGTTACTGCCCACACAGAGTCCAGGCGAGGTTGGCAAATTTAAGGCTGTGAGGTCGTCCCTTCGCAGGAAGACGCGACAATGATATTATTTTTCAGGAACTGGGCGTTGGTAGTTGACAGAGCTAATGTGGTCGTCTGGGCGTGCCACGCACGACCTGACGTCTCGTGCGGCATGTTCAGCCTTTACACAAGTGGGGTGGGCGACTTGGGTCTCACCAGCGTGCGAGTGTCATAAAGGTCACATTTGGAGGGGGTCTTTGAAGCGCGGCCTTCAGTGCACCACTCAGTCACCCCGTATACACAGAGCCTACTGCGAAGTCTTTGGTCTTGTTGATCTTCCGGACAACGACTTTCAGCGCATCATCATAGGTTCAAACGAGTCAAGTTTGGTCTGCGGAGGCATGCGAGGAATTTCCGTAGGGAGAGTTCATGGTAATCTGGTCGCATCTCCTTTGCCCTATCCTCGGATGGACTCTGATGAATGTAACAGACCGCATCTGGGTTCTTGTCGCCTCGAGACTGGTTGTCATCGTGCCCTTACAGAATGCGCTCCTTCGGCGGTCTTGACAAAGCCTTCTATATTCGCCATATACTAGTAGTCTGGTCGCATCTCCCCCCATGTTCGGATGGACTCGGTTGAATGAAACTGACCGCATCTGGGTTCCTATCGGCTTGAGACTGGTTTTCAATTTCGGCACTTATTTTTCTTATTCAAGGCGATACAGGCCAGTCCTGACCGACCCGCCTACGTACCATTTTATGAAATCCGTTACGCAATGCCATATACAGCTGACATTTATTTCGGCCATGTTGATGTCGGACTATATTCCATTTTGTACCGCCACATGCAGGCCAGTCCTCCCTGTTTTTTTCTGATGCTATTTTTCTGAGGGGTTTTCTTTTCTCCTGTCAAATTACTACAATCATTTTTAAATTTTGCTTTAGAGTTTTTTTTCACCCCTCGTTTTTTTTCATTTTTTTCATTTTCATTTTGCTTAACGGACTTCTAATCTCAAAAACTATGCATTGCACTTTTTGCAGATTTTGTCTACATCGTCTAAAATTTGCATGTTAATTTATTTTTACTTGCTTTGATGGGACCCCGACGGGTCTTTAATAAAAATAATTGAATTGAATTGAATTGAATTGAGTCAGCTTTACTCTCGCTCTCTTTCCCTCCCTCTCTCTCTATCTATCTATCTATCTCTATTTCTTCCTTCTCGCCTGCGTCGGTCGAATCGCTGAGCCCAAAACAAAAGGGCCCTGAGACTGGCCGCATTGGCAGACAAGGCGGAGTAGCCCGCTGCACGTGTTGCACATGACCTGTTCACGCAGCATTTTGCAGCAAAGAACACACTTCCCACTTACGTGAGAGTTGCTTATTCTGTGTCTGTGATAAATGATGCGGGACGTGTTTCTGCGTGGTGCATGAACTGGCTGGGCGATATTTGGTGAATAGGTTTTATCGGCGATGTCTTACCGTAGAGCTAAGTTGTAAATTATTCTCCACTGAGAGTGTGGGTAGCAGAGATGTGTTCGAGGGGTGTATGTTGGTACCCAGGACACTGGTTCGCCGGTCTCAGCAAAGGAATTTACAAGTTACCGACTAGGCTGATGCGCAGTGTGAAGATACGGTTATTGTTTTGGCAGCTAGGATGGTTGTAGCGGCTTGTGTTGTTGTTTCTGCTGTTATCGTCGTCGTCGTCGTTGATTTTGTTCTTTTTTACGATGATGGTGGTAGTTTTGGTGGTGATGATAATGATGCCGATGACGACAAGTACGACTAGGATGATGACGATAATGATGATGATGATGATGATGATGATGAGGAGGAGGAGGAGGAGGAGGAGGAGGAGGAGGAGGCGGATGAGGGGGAGGGGGAGTGGGAGAAGGAGCAGGAGGATGGTGGTGGTGGTGGTGGTGGTGGCGGCGGCGGCGGCGGCGGTGGTGGTGGTGGTGATGACGATAATAATAATATTAATAATAATACTTCCTTCGGGTCCGCTCAGCTTACCGAGGGAAATGGGCGCGGGCCTTTGAGTACCCTATTTGCAGCGTAGAATTGGGTGCGGTGAACATTGAAAGCATGAAGGCTGAAACAGATTAAATGAGACCATAACAGCATGACAAATTGGTCATGAGTCTCGATAGTTACGTTCGATTTCTGCTCGCGCTCGTTTATTTTGGAACATAAATATGTCAAGGTTCCTTTTGAAGCTTTCTGTCGATGTTGACGTCATGAAATCAGCAAGGAGGGCATTCCGTGGTTTGACCGCTCCGATAGAGAAGGGGAACTTCAGCCCATATGATCTTGCCTGTCAAATGTACAGTTTTAATGGCTCAGGTCGGACGCTGGCCGTAGCGGCAAGTTCAAAAGTCCCGAAACTTCAGGCTGCGATCCAATCCCTTCCCAATGCTGAATGCTTGTAAGAGATTCCCTTGTGCTTGCGTATAGCTCAAATGAAAGAAATTCAGATTTGTTAGGTGGATTGTGTGAAGTAAAAAGTTATGATCCCTGGGCATTTTCGTGGATTTCCTTCGCACAATTCTAAGGGTGTCTTGGTGTTAAACTGCCCATGGCCTACAAGACTGTATACTGTATCCCAAATGCGACCTCGCGAATGTTCCATTAGTCTTGAAAAAGACCTCTCCGTCAAAATCCATAAATGCTCCCTTAATGACGTGCAACACGGACATCGGACATAAAAAGGGATCTCAAGAAGAAATGAGGATCGTGGGGGAGATATGTCAGACGTCAACATTTCGAAGTTCTCCTTAAATTAAAAGAAAAGCCAACTACGTGTCGGAATTTCCTGAGGTGAGGACGAGCAGGATTTGTGTTACAAATAGTCAAAGAAATACCACAAAGTCCGAGAAACTTATTTGTGTACTTTAATGAGGCAAGGCTCGATTGGAACTCCATGACTGAAGGATTATCTGAGAAATAAGTTAGCCGTTAAATCAGACAATACCTATCTCTTATTCAATTTTGTAATGTCCGTGTATGACAAAAAACCGCCTTTTGATATGAAATCATTCAGGCAAACTGCTTTACCTCAATACACAATTAAAATAAAATAAATAAATTTAAAATAAAATAAATTTTTTATTTAATGCCAGTTTACAGGCATTTGCAAGGGGAGCGATTAAACATAAATCCGACCGGCAGTGAAAAAAAACTCCTGAGCTTAAGGCATAAAAATATAGTTGATGGTGGTTTTTGTGGTTTGGAGGGCTCAGGAGAAAAAACTGCCGGCGGTGGGAGAATATCGACCGTCAAGAAGGGGGGAGGTTGCACGGTATCGGAGATCATCGGACGTCAAATTCCTTTCATGAAGTTGGGGATAGTCAAAGTAGAGGCGTTGAGGAACAGCTGGTGAGACCGGCCATAGTGTTCAGAGACCACAAACGCCATCGCTACGGTACAGTCGATCAGTAGATTCAGCACCCAAAATTTGTGGGAGCTTTTCTGAATGCAAAAATCGAGTAATAGTTCTCTTAAATAAAGGATAATTTTGCAGAGTTTTCGCACTCATGGGTAGTTTATTCCAAATAGCAATTGCATTTACAGAAAAGAACCGACGATATTTAACAGTACGTGCCAGAGGCAGAAATAAGAAGACCTCACCGTGACTGTTATGTCGTGGGTGGATATGATGTATTAAAGAGGTGAGTGGGTTAAATGTGTGATTATATAAGAGTTTAAATAGCAAAAATAGTCCCTTGTGTAATCTACGGAACCATAAAGGATCGAGGCCTGTAAGCCGGCAACGTTCTTGGTAAGACAAATGTCGGTGTTCTGGGGTTAAAATTCTCTTGGTAAAAAAGTGTTGAACGGATTCTATTTTCTTCCGCTCAGTAGCACGCATGAGGCTAAATGAAAACGAACAGTATTCCAGACCAGGTCTAACGTACATGTTGAAAAGGCGCATTCTAATGTCCCTAGTTTTAAAATTTCGGAGGATAAACCCGGTCGTTCTACGTGATTTGGAGACTACCAAGGCACAGTGCTCCGCGACGTTCATAACAAACCCAGCAATGAAAACTCTACGACGACAACAGCCCACCAAACCGCCTGGTCCGATTGGCATATCCGCAAAAGTTGAGAATTGACTCTTAGACCACCTGGCCTCCCCGCTGTCCAAGATCTTCGAAAGTTCGATAGAGAAGGGGGCTCCTCTCGCTGACTGGAATCTACCCAACGTAAGTCTCATACATAAGCGGAAGGAGGACCTCAAAAAAAGCTTCAGCCCAGTGAGTCTCATAAGCACTTTCTGTAAAATAATGAAGAAAATAATAAAAACTGAACCGATGAGGCATGCTGCGGAGAACAACGTTTTCAGTGCGCATCAACGTGAATCTGGAGGCGGTCGATCCTGTCCCACTAACCTGCCTTCATCAATAGACGGCTGTATGAAATTATCAGAAATTGGTTGATAAGCAGGTGTTGTCTACATTGACTTTAGAAAGACCTTTGAGAGGTTTGCACATAGACGGCTCATATTTGAAGTACGTCAAGTGCGTATGACTGGCAACCTACTCCAAGGGTTGGCCGACTTTCACATAGGCGGACGTCAGAGTGTTTGTACGGGTGACGTCAAATTGTGGTTGGCAAAAATTCAAAGTGGGGATCCGCTGGGGAGCGTTCTGGGTCCCATTCGGTTTGTGATATATACCTATACGTATATACATATACATATACATAGAAGAAGACGGGAAGGCGATCGCTGGGACCAATGGTTTATTTATCCGACGTTTCGAACTCTCACGCGAGCCCATCGTCAAGGAATGAAAAACCTGTACAGGTCGTCGTGTATTTAGCTCACCTCTGCCGGGGTTGACCTCTAGCTGCGCTGTTGATTTGTTCACGCAGTGCTTGATAGGCGATTGGCAGATCGATATGTCGATTAATCGCGTCCTCAGTTGAGTGCCACGCTTCCTGCAGCAGGCGCGCAACTCGGTTGTCTGACTGTCCTAGTATTCTCACGCTCCCAAAGTCAAAGGCGTGTCCTGGCGAGGAGGCGTGGTCGGCTACCAAAGAGAGTTTTTCCTTCCGTCTCACGGCCAATTCATGCAATCTCGTGCGGACCTGTTTTCCGGTTTCACCAACATAACTGGCCTGACCGCAATTGCAGTCTATGCGGTAGATGACCCCCGATTTCTGATTTATGGGAATCGGATCCTTGGGCTGCATGAGTTGACGGCGGATTGTGGCTTCAGGTCTGTGCGCGACGCCGATCCCAAATTCGCTCACCAGTCTGGCGAATTCTTCTGACAAACCAGCTATGTACGGCACTGCGCGCCAGCACTTCGGTTTCGGCTGCCCCTTCGATTTTCTTCCCCGTGTTTCTCGCCTGCACTTTTCGACGAAATTCTCAGGGTAGCCGTTCATGGTGAAGAGTTTCTTCAGGAACTGAGCCTCGGCCTTCTTGTCGGCTGGCTCTGTGCAATGGGTTTCTACCCGCCGGTAGAGTGTTCTTACGCAGCTGCGTTTGTGCGAAAGGGGGTGGTTGCTGAGAAAACTCCGAATACGAGAGGTATTTGTCGCCTTTCGGTAAACTGTTGTTTTTAGTCCCCCATCGCCTTTTCTCTGGACTAGTACGTCGAGGAACGGCAACTGGCAATCTTTTTCCTCCTCCATCGTGAACTGGATATCTGGGAAGATCGAGTTCAGATGTTGCGTGAATTCTTTAATCCTTCTATGCAATTACCTGGGCCGCGCGTATTCTCTATCATTCAGAATACATTCGGGCGCGAAGCGCTTAGACCAGCGCGTCGGTGGGAATCCTTCTCCTGTCGACAAGCTTCAACGTACGCTCAACTGAGGTTCCTGCACAGGTGCCTAGACTCAAACACTCTGCCGAGATGCCTCTCGTATAAATCGCCCGTCAACACCGAGCTAGGTAGGCGAACAGTCTTACAACTGGGACGCAGAATGATTCGGGTTTTAATCCAGGATTGTCACCTCCGACTACGCAAGTACAAAGCAGCAATTGAGGATGAACAAGCGAAGTGCTCAAGGATCCTTGGAGAACCGCTGACAAATGATCTTCATCGCAGCATTTTTCTCAGTGCCAGGCGCATTCGCGATGCACGTGAATCCAAACTGAAACAGAAGTTGACCACACTGAGCGAAAAGAATGCCAGCCTCTGCTATGATAATGTTGTGCACAACCTATCTTCCAAACAACTGACAGCAGAGCAGATAAAAGTCCTGAGCCATGATGCCTGCTTCAATACGACGGATGCCCAACCTGTTGACTTCATCGCAGCTGCGGAATCTGTCATTCTTGAAGCTCCAATCACTGAGGAAAACAGAAATCTGCTACGACAGCGAATATCCTCCAGACACATGTCCTACAAGAAACTCAATATGCTCTCGAAAGCAGAAAACGAAGCACTTCGGACTCTGAAGGCCGACAAAAGCATTGTCATACTCCCGGCCGATAAAGGACGATCGACGGTCGTACTGAACAAGGAGGACTACGTCAACAAAGTCGAGGCCCTTTTG